TATATATATATATATATATATATATATATAATATTTTTTTTATTTAAACCAACGTTTCGCCTTTGCGGCTTCCTCACGGTTTATATACACGTAAGAACATTACAAACAGTTTTATAATTTAAATACTATTCTAATATCAAACAGTTGTGTATATTAACACTGAGGAAGCCTCAAAGGCGAAACATTTTTCCGAACTTTTTATCAAAATGTGTAAATCTTATAAAAGTTGTATTGATATTCATTGAAACACCATAATTATTATGACTTATACTCTGTATATCGTATATGTTATTGAAATGTGTTTAACTGAGACTCACGTTCATAAAATATATGATAATAATCTTCCGATAGATTATAATTGTATTGAATTGACTGTAAATCCTAAATATAATAATTTTTGTACTTTAAATCTTACTATTCACGTTACAATTTGAGTGAAACAGGAAAACACATTTCATTTCCCTCAAAGACGAAAATTTACTACTTTATCGTTGAGTAACAACAATTGATTCATGTCCCTGTTGCTACCCCTAAAATGTGTTCGTCAGAAATCACAGCTACTCATCCTAACTGTTCTACTGAGTAGTATTTTCATTGGTGATCACTGCACTGTGTATTACATGTGCTTAATCTTGATAGAAATAATAAAAAGAATGATTACAGACGCTTACACATTCATAATACGCTTGTTTTCAAATTTCATAAAAATAATTTGGCTAATTCATTGATAAAATACTTTTTTTTATGGCTGAATTTATCATAACTTAACGTCTTAATATGAGACACAGGATAAAATAGGCTTTTATGAGGTTTAAAAAGAATTTTAGCTTACTTAAGTCAAAACCTATTGATTTAGGAGTCGTTTGTATTTATACATGTAGTATAATCCTTTTTATAAGCAATACTACATTTAAAACAAGACGCTAAACCAAGCGACCTAGGTGTAAACTTTTCTTATACTGTGTTCTTTCTTTCACAGCTTTAATGCATGCTGTGGTTTTTGGGAATGTGACAGCTATTATTCAACGTATGTACTCCCGGCGATCTCAGTATCAAACAAAGCTTAGAGATTTGAAGGACTTTTTCAGATTACACCAAATATCAAAGCAGCTGCGACAGAGGATGTTAGACTACTTCCAAACCACGTGGTCACTAAACCATGGAATTGATCCAAATGAAGTAAATAACTTTTCTTTAAGCGAAGTTAACATTGTATTATAATGCCGTGCAATTAGTAATGCCGATTTATACATTTCAAATATCCGTTGTTAAATAACTAGTGAAACGATTTATAATATGCATAAATAAATTTATTTATTAAGTAAGGTTGGATTGTAAATTGAGTACACCATTTTGATACAGCCTTCAATGGATGTTAGGTTGGATCATCTTCCTTTACAATAATAGCCTAGAATAAGCATGACATAGACTAAATGCATCTTCTTAAAGTGTAGCCCAGTCATCATCGAAGAGTATGACCTACGATTGGTTCACTTATGTCATCATAGGATTATGGTGGAAATTTTGACATTTCTATTTGGTACCTAGTAACTCCGTGGGCAAATAAGGTGACTGGTGTCATTATCGTGCTTTTCGAATTAATTTCCAATGGTACAAGTACAGTGGATTGTACCTTATTTTCTTCAAATAACTCTTTTTCAATTATTGTAAAAAATATGATATCTGTGGGTGGATATGGCTGTCATCAACGTTCAGGTACATAATACTGGCACGTCTGAAAAAATGTTAGGACATAATATCTGTCATTAGAATACACCCCACACCATTACACCAACACCTCTACTAGTTTGCACTCTCGGAATATTTGAGGGGGTCGAGTTCCCCATAATATATTTCTGATATTTTTATCTTATAGCGAAGAACGAAAAAAATAAAAATTAGCTTATCGGCTTATATTGCATGTTTCTGGTCATTTACTGTTGGCATTTAGCACTTAAAGCACCACTGAATCAATGATTCACTGTTTGCATCTAAAATAATTTTTGGACTTGTTTTAGTCTCTCATATGACAGTTTTTGTAATTTCCGTCACATTTTACTGTTAAATATGTTAAAATACTTGTTACTATTGAAGGAATTGGTCCATCGGGATACAGCCTGACGTCTTGCACTGTACAAGGCTGCTAAATCGTCTTTCCCCTCCACCCTTCACTAGCGAGTGTCATCCGCTTATTTTTTATCTGCAAATCTATTTCTTTTAACTAATAAGTTTGATAGACCCTGATGACAGATGTCTCTGGGTGGTCTATCTGAGGAATTAGGTCTGATACTGATTTATATCTCGACCGGCATCAACCATCAGAGTATTATAAAGCCTCCGATCTGTAAATGTACTTAAGTTTCCTGATAAAATGGTCAATAAGTGTAAAATGTGTCACTACTTCTAGATACGAATAGAGACTGGCAAGTTTAAAGTAGATTTTAACTGAGTATAAACACTGTATTTACTTGAAATTAAATATTAACTTTTTTATCTCTATATTGATTATTGTTTTATATAAAATTAAACCTCTTAAAAATAATGACTGGCTAGCCTACCTTTTAAAATCACATAATTTTCAAATAATAATATATTTTTATATTTACAAAACAAGCTTTTCTGACTGTAGTATTAATATGTTATGTTGATTTTTATTTTTTACTTTATTGTTGTCCTGAATCCTAAGCCTTTACGCTTTTCAGCCAACAATTTTACATAACGGAGTTCCGCAACCTCCTGCTAGAAATTGTCACTAAAATACCATTGGTAACCAAGCCTTTATTATAGAACAGAAATTACGTTTAGTTACAGACATCCATTCGTTTTTGATTGACATACATTTAATCAGGGTAAAAACTTATAATTATAAGTATAAATAGATCTTATAAAGGATGACTAATGACCATTTTTTAAAGTATTTGTCTAAAATTGTTTTCTTTAAGTCATGTATACCAAAGTTTGGTAAGGTCAAAACTTACAGTCGAAAGTAGCTTTTATATATCAGCGTTTCTTGGTTTAACTAACTGGTAAAGTCAAAAGTAAAATAGCAGACGGTAACTTTGATATATCAGCGTTTGTTGGTTTAACCAACTGGTAAAGTCAAAAGTAAAATAACAGACGGTAACTTTAATATATCAGCTTTTCGAGATTAAACCCATTTCGAAAGTCGAAACTCAAACGGCAGACGGTAGCGTTTATATAATAGCGTTTCGTGGTTAAACCCATTAGTAAAGGCAAATAACAAATGGTAGTTTATACACATCAGCATTTCGTGGTTAAATCCACTGGTAAAGTCGAAACTCAAAGAACAGACTGTACGTTTCACATATCAGAGTTTCGTGGCTAACTCCATTGAAAAAGTCGAAACTCAAATAGCAGACAGTAGCTTTGACATATCAGCATTTCGTGGTTAAATCCATTGGTAAAGTCAAACTCAAACAACAGACAATAGCTTTGAGATATCAACGTTTCGTAGTTAAGTGCATTTCTCAGGAAGTATGACGTCACAAGAGAAATAACCATATAATTGTATTGTATCAATGGTAACACACTGTTTTATTTATTCTAATATTTGACTCGAGAACTGTCCTATATGAAATGTTTTCTAATTGTGTAATATGTTTTGTTTAATATAATCTTTACACTTCTGGTTTTTTATGCGTGAGAAATAAGTTGTTTTGTATTATAATCCTCGTATATTTGCTTTAATTTTTGTTTCCAAAGTAATATTACTGTTTTTGATTAGTTTTTCATTAACATTGTAAACGTTTCAACGAAACCTACCTTCGATGTATTTCATGCAGGTTTTACGGGAGTTTCCTGATGAGCTTCGAGGTGATGTTTCCATGCACCTGAATAAAGAAATACTTACTTTACCCTTATTTGAGACAGCCCCTCAGGGTTGTCTGAAACAATTGTGTCGACACATTAAGAGTAATTTCTGTGCACCAGGCGAGTATTTAGTGCACAAAGAAGATGCACTGGTATACATTTATTTTGTGTGCAACGGTTCAATGGAGGTGTTACAGAACGGCATGGTTGTCGCCATTTTGGGTAAGTTATATTACTATTAATCATAAGGAAATTGGAAATTATCCATGAAATTTGATAAAAAGTTTCTCATTGATTTTTGTTTAGCCTTTTAACTTATATAAAAATTATATATGAAATTCTGAAACTTATCCCGTGCACGTTAACCCCAATCTATTAATGCAGTATTAAAAATTTACTTTATGCATTTGACATTATAATTCACAAATGAAAAATACAATTGACATAAAGACATACACAATATTTACAGTTTAATATAACTTTGTTTTACGATATTATGCATTCGTAATCAAAACAATGTCAATATTACAGCATCGTGAAGCTATAAAGTCGGTTTCGATACCCGTGGTGGGCAGAGCACAGATAGCCCTTTGTGTAGCTTTGTGTTTAATTACAAACAAATATTATAAAGTCGGTCCCTGTATAAATTATAAATTAACATATCTTTATAAATGGTAGAATTAGATGATCTGAAGGAGATAACTTCGAATAAAGGAATTTCGTTTTTACAAGTTCAATTTTTAAAGAGAATTTAATGTTTAAAAATACTTGCTAATTCTGCCGGTAAGTAATATGTGGACATGATCTAGCCATAAGCTAATAACGATTAACTAGGGAATGAACTATAATGCGAATTATGTTATTGAAATAAGCTTAATGATGAACTCAATTTTTTGGTGCTTTCAACATCTAGTCAGAATGGACTTTCAGAACAATACTGTGAAATGGTTACTTATTATCAAGCTCCTTTGAAAATCGGAGTGATCCTTGCTCTTACTCATTGATAAATTTGTCCTGAAGCTTACATTTAACTTGAACGTAAAGGAATTATCAACAACAGAAATAAAACTTTAAAATGTCAATATTTCTCATTCTTAAACACGAACCTAAAATATAGAAAATTGCTGGGGGATGAATAAACTCAAAGTTCCTAGGTATTTTTATTATTTAGTTGCCCATTAAAAATTGTCAAAACTGGCAATATAAAGCTCAACAAATTCACTTTTATTTATTATATACTTATCTTTTGATTTTCTATTCAAGGAATTCCATATAACTCCATATAACTAATAATATTTTAGTATTGTTAAAATTAGTACTTAACTCTAAATGGTTACATTATATATAGATATTAGATAGAATTTCCTCCAAGTTTTTATGAGAGAAAAATGACTTATTTATAAGGTTTTGAAGCCTCGTCATATCATTACAGCCCATATAGTCGTGCTATATTTGACGATCTTTGCGATAGCCCTATAATGTAGTTTCCGTTGCAAAAGGTTTGTTTGTATGACTGTCATATCCAAAGTGCATCTATTTTCTGCAGGTTGTCCATAATCCATCTTGTTCCAAAACGACTATTTTTAGAGCTCGTTAAACTGTTTGATCGCATATAATCCATAAGCTAAATATCTGGCAACTTGACTGGAGTGTCTTTGTATGGAATAACCTGAAGATACGTTTCATTTTCTAGCTGATTGAGGTACAGGACGGTTGAACGGATATGTCGTGGAAGTACACGCGATTTGTGTCGCTTTCTCAAAAGGAGGTCCTTCTTGATTATGTCATATACTGTGGTTTGTAAGAAGAGAGCAGTTTTTGCCACTGACCTATGAATTTGTGAATTATTTCCTGTTAGAAGACTTTTCTTACCACGACTAGGGTACGACTTGTTGTAGGTCTCTTTTGTGATGGTCATGGTGCCTCAAATTGACTCATACTCTTTTGTTTTCTAATTCCATTAAGTACAATGGATAACTCTGTCTTGGGAATTTTAAATCTCCGATCGTAATCTATCTTTTAAATACGATCTGAGTATATGAATATTTTCCTTTGGAAATGGTTGTTACATATGCTTCCCAAAAAGCAATTACATTTCTGTGGCTTCACACTAAATGCAGAGCAAGAAACGATGTCAAAATGTAGTCTGATACGTTTCGTTCCACTGTGACTTTATATCAGCTGTGGTTACCACACGAATTGCTGATTTGCACAAAGACAATTGTTTTCATATAACATACAACACATTTTTGTAGTCTTTGTCATCTTTAATATTAAAACATAACATCTTGTATTATTTGATAAATTGTTTATAGATTCACGATGAAACTTTGTAAAATGGACGGCAACTGTCTGTTGAAGAGACACAAGTATAGAGGACGACGTGTCGAAAGTTGATACTCTTGTACTCAATTAAGTAAATTTATCAATATTTTCTATCAAATATACAAGAGGCATTGAACTTGAACACTTGATAGTTAAACAGGCTTTTTCTAGCCCAGTCTTATCCAGAAAAAAAAATTGTATTTTTTGATTTTTTCTTTAAATCCTTTTGCCACTTGGTGTATCGTTGCAACTGTTTTACTTTCAGTATCGGTGTTTCTTTTCACATAAAATCGAATGAGTAGTCACAGTATTAGATTGTTTTTCAAGTGTTTTGTTATCTTTCTAGCTATAGTCTTAGTTCAACTAGAACTGTTTCGTAGTCTTTTCCTTCTGTTCGAAAATTTGAACCGCAGCTGTTTGCTCTTGTAAACGGTTGATGAGTGATTAATCAACGTTTTGAGCTTCTTGGTATTCGATTGTTTCTTCACAAACCTCTCTTTCTATCGGCATTTTAGATATTGATAATTTTAATATTTAGATTAAATGTAGTTATTTTTTGTTATTTATTATTAGATATACAAACTCGTTTGAATTTCAGTAAGATATTTATACTTGTAGGTAGCGTGTTCCAACCGGCGGTGCCCCTGTGTTTATTATGAATCACATGTTAATGTTCGAGTTTATGTATTAAACAAATTTTACTCTTAAATACGCCATGATAAGATATCCGATTCCAGTTAGGTTCTTCCATAGTTTCCATCCGCTATAGTTTGACCCTTCATTGGTAAGAGGTTGGACAACATTGCTTTAGAGTGCTAGACATCAAACATTGAGCATCATGAACTCTTTCCATTTACTTCGCTACTATACTACAAGCACTTTCTGATAATCTATAATAATAAAAGTGCGTGGCTGTGTGTGACCGCTATAACTCCAAGAGGAAAGAACCTAGAAACCTGAAATTTTGCACATATACTAAATGGACCCTGAGGGTGTACACCTGGATATTATTACTTACTCACCTGCATGCGCACATACGCACATGCGCTTGGGCGTCTTTTTAATGAGGCAAGCTAGTGAAAAACCACATAGAAAAGAATATGTGACCGTCATAGTTCCAAGAGCAAAGAACCTAGAAATCTGAAATTTTACATCCATACTAAGTGGATCCTGAGGGTATGCACATGAGTATTATTACTTATCTACGCGCATGCGCATTTTGTATGCGAAAAACTACATAAAAAGTACAAAAACTCATACTTAACACGAACACTACCTAGAGAGCGAGCTAGACAGTACGAACACTATTTAGAGAGTGATCTAGGCAGTAATAATACTCACACTTAACACGTACACTATCTAGAGAGTGAGATAGACAGTACAAACTCTATTTAGAGTGTGATCTAGGCAGTACAAACACTCATATTTAACACGTACACTATTTAGAGAGTGATCTAGGCAGTACAAACACTGCATACTTAACACGTGCACTATTTAGAGAGTGCACTAGGCAGTACAAACACTCATACTTAACACGTACACTATTTAGAGAGTGATCTAGGCAGTACAAACATTCATACTTAACACGTACACTATTTATAGAGTGATCTACGTGGTACAAACACTCATACTTCACACGTACACTATTTAGAGAGTGATCTAGGCAGTACAAACACTCATACTTAACACGTACACTGTCTAGAGAGTGAACTAGACAGTACAAATTCTATTTAGAGAGTGAGCTAGGCAGTACGAACACTCATACTTAACACGTACAGTATTTAGAGTGTGAACTAGGCAGTACGAACACTCATACTTAACACATACAGTATTTAGAGTGTGGACTAGGCAGTACAAACACCCATACGTAACACGTACACTATTTAGAGAATTAGTTAGGCAGTACGAACACTATTTAGAGAGTGATCTAGACAGTACAAACACTCATATCTAACACGTACACTATTTAGTGAGTGATCTAGGCAGTACGAACACTATTTAGAGAGTGATCTAGACAGTACAAACACTCATATCTAACACGTACACTATTTAGTGAGTGATCTAGGCAGTACAAACACTCATACTTAACACGTACATTACTTAGAGAGTGATCTAGACAGTGCAAATACTCATGTCTAACATGTACACTATTTATAGAGTGAGCTAGGCAGTACGAACACTCATACTTAACACATACAGTATTTAGAGTGTGAACTAGGCAGTACGAACACTATTTAGAGAGTGATCTAGACAGTACAAACACTCATATCTAACACGTACACTATTTAGTGAGTGATCTAGGCAGTACAAACACTCATACTTAACACGTACATTACTTAGAGAGTGAGCTAGACAGTGCAAACACTCATATCTAACATGTACACTATTTAGAGAGTGAGCTAGGCAGTACGAACACTCATACTTAACACGTACAGTATTTAGAGTGTGAACTAGGCAGTACGAACACTCATATTTAACACATACAGTATTTAGAGTGTGAACTAGGCAGTACAAACACTCACTTAGCATGTACACTAAGAACCATGAAATATTATGTGTAGAAGTTTCGGACTTCATGATGTACACAAGAACAATACTGTAGAAAGTTCAAACTCATTACTATTTTTCACACCTTAAAGAATCATTTTGTTGACATTTGTACTTTCCACCAACAAGTAGTCTCCAGTTGTTTTTACTTGTATTGTTCAGCTACATGTGTAAAAGATGTTAAAAGTAAACTAATCTCATGTAGTCCATGTTCCAGTATTGCCCTTGAAAATTGAATATGACTTTTATCAAAAACTAATTAAAACAAAACACAATTGAATTTGCTGAGAACGATGGTAATGTAGTTTCAGTGACAAAATTAAGTATCAAAATAAGAAATATTCAGAACTTGTGTTACAGGGTATACATTACTTAAGGAGATATACACATGGGTCACATTTTACGTCAATCATTATTGTGAACAATAAATTAATTAGTTCGATTTTTGATGTCAGAGAAACACGTAGGTTCAAAGGTTTCTATAATTTTAATTATTTTTCTATCACTTCAACAGTAGCGCTCTGTAAAAGCTTTTAGTACTAATTAATAGTATGTTATAAGCACTGCCATTGGTTGATTAATTTGAATACAGTAATTAATAAAAATGTCACATGCCTTGAAATTTATTGAATATTTATTGAAAAATCTCTAATCAACATTAACGGTGGATTTACTGAAATATTGGTATATATGGCAGATTTATCGAAACATTAGTGTTCTTATTACAAGAAGCTATACTGAGAAACTGTAATCTATATCAAAGATTTGATGAAAGCGTAATTTACAAGAACATGCTTTATTACCATAATCGTTAGCAAGTGTAGAATTAATAGTTGTTGATTTTTTATTGTTATGAGTTGAGTTACGTACTAATCTATGTCTTATGAATGTTTTTTACAATATTTCTGGGCACAGGAAAAGGAGACGTAGTAGGATGTGATATTTCTCCCAATCTAAATGAAACTTTTATCAAATCCAGTAGTGACGTCAAAGCCCTGACCTACTGCGATTTAAAATGTATTTATATCCCTGGTCTGGCGGAGGTTCTCAAATTATATCCTGAATTTGCTGAAAGTTTCTGTCATGAAATTTTACACGACCTGACTTTCAACCTTCGGGAAGGCTATGAAAACGAGGTACGAAACGACTTTCACCTAGTTAACTTTATCTTTTTAACTGAAACGTATTCAATGGCACGGTCAGTACTCACAGTTTAACTAGTAATAAATGATTAGTAATATACACCATCTTGTATGGATATGTGATTCAAAATAGCCTCAAAAATCAATCAAAGAGGAAACAGTTTATCCGCATCTTTTTACTTTTCCTGTTTTGTGGAACACAACGCTTGTTTTAATATCAAGATCATATATTTGTTTAATTTGGAAATGGTAAGATTTTTTATAAAACACACACACACACTGTTTCACTCGAAATAAACTATCTATAACATGTCATTAACTTTACTCACAGACTATTATTAAAATGTTATATAAATATGTATAATTTGCATGTGTTTTGCAGGCTATGTTGTGTCGTAGTATTGGCTTGTCTTTTCAAATAATTGATAAAAATAATAAAGCAACAAAAACAATGTTTTAGAATGTAATTAGTCAATGAATTGGCTACATTAAATCACACGAACTCATGATGGCAGATTCCATTGGACACTACAAAACTTCTAAGATCTGGTATCTTGATTCTCTTTATTTTTGTACTTTAATAGGACATAAAAAGGCTGGAATGTAAATTGCTATGTATTAACATTTAACATTCAGCTCTCACTTTAACTGATAATCAGGTAAGATTTTCTGTCGTTTTAAAATTTACTAAGTAAGAACGATTTCACTTATGATGAACATTCTGTTCATTTCTAATTAATTTTTTGTTAGATGTTCATACCCATATAAAACTAACAACATTAATTTCTGTTATCTCAGTATATTTTGGTGGAAAGTCGTTACGTTTAAAAATGCTTTAATACTGCTGGACAATTACAGTATAAATTTCATTATACAGGACATAATAACACTTGAATTTCGACATAAACAGTCTTAGAAATAATCATGGAACGTTTTATAAAATGGGTTTAAAATGCAAATATTGATATCCAACCAATCAGACAGTGCCACACCAGTATAATGCTTATAAAAGTGCAGAAAGTCATACAGTTCTTAGCAGTAGTGTGATTAATGCACTCGTGGTTCTTAGGGCAGAAAGGAACATTGGGGGATTTGAAAAATCAAAGTTTGATTGGTTAGTCCATACGAAAGATTGAAGCAAAATTTCATGTTTCAGTAGGTGATACTTGGAAACTCTAAGAGGGTACGTTAAACTATTACTGTTAATAACAGAAACGTTCAATGTAGTAGGTCCAAACTTTTGAAACACGACACTTGATACACGACATTTCAATAGAGATTTTGCAAGTTACCTAACTATAAGTGTAGCTGTGAATGTGTCTTCCAGAAAAGTAAGCTACACCTTAGCATGAAATAGCGTCCATGGATGTGTAGCTTTCAAAAACCACTGCTTGGGGTAAATAACCGTAACAAAATAGGAAGAATTGGCACTAGATTTCAAATAATATGACGACCTAAGATGGAGGATGATGCTCTTTACAGATGAATCCAAATTCAAATTGTTTGTCAACAATCAATGATAACTTGATCCGTAGCGTAACAATCAACATACAATTTCTTCAATGAAGTATGCTGGGGAAACAAAACAAGAGTGGGATACATGTTTGCCAGTAGTGTTGAAATCTATACAAAATTGATGGCACCATGATGGCTGACAGGTACTGTCATATTCTTATAAGTCATGTCATTCTCTCAAGGCCAAAATCTGTTGGGCAGGGATTAATTTTCCAATAAGACAGTAATCCCAAACATACAGAAAATGAAGGAAACAAAAGGGCGATGAAACACTCACAGCTATAACTTGGCTTGCACAAAGTCCCAGTATTAATATTATTAAGGATGTATGGGTTTATACGGAAACTAAGAAGATCAAACGATAAACAAACTACTTAGCTGAACAGAGGAGAGTTATACAAGACACTATTTCACGATCATACATTAAAAACTTATAGTAGCATGAAAAATATGTACTGCTCTGTTTGAATCAAACACAAAATGTTACGCTTTTACACACATTTCTTTTCTATTTTAGGTA